CTGCTAACTGCAGTTATAGGATGACCCAATATTCCTCAAATTCACATCAAAAACTAATGATGTAATGTATGGTGATTAGCATAACATAATAAAAAATTTAAAAATAAATAAATACATACAGAAAAAAAATTCAGCCTAGTGTAATCATTAGGAGCACAAACTCTAGAGCGAGACTGCTTGGGTCTGAATCACAGCTTTTCTCTTTCTAGCTGCCTGACCTTAGCCAAGTTACCTAATCACTCTGTGCTATAGTTTCCTCATCTGTCACATGGAGATAAAATAGTACCTTTCTCATGGGGCTGTTATGAGAAATACCAGAGTTAATATTTGTAAAGTCCTCAGAACACTATAAAGGTGTTTGTTAAATAAAGATAACAACAAATCTCTTAAATAAGGTTCTTAACATCCCTCCCCCCCCATGAAGCTATATCACACATGTGTTAAAAATATATACCACGTGAAATAATTTACTGAAAATGAGCAAATTGGAATTCTACCCAAATCAGGAAATAATGGTTGCTTGCACAAAAGACCTGTGAGGAAAAAAATGTCTAAAAAATATCTCCACAGGCCCTTGCATAAAATTTTAGTTTTCATGAGAATCCTGCTGTTTGTTTATCCCTGGAATGATTCCACAGAAAACCCAAATAACTTACAATGGTATATATTTTAAAAGAGGGATTATAAGAAATATGGTAGACATTAAAAATAAGTCTAGGGGAAAACAGTACACCTGAAGTCTATGTAGCTTTTAAAATTGCCCTACTCTTTGATTTTGAGTTTCCCAAGAACCAAAGTTAAAAAGGAAATATGACTTTAAGTCGTATTGCCTATCAAGCCCAAAACAAAACACACAATTTTTAAAGTCCATGCTCACTTATTATAAGAAAGAGATCCTTTATAGATAGTAAGAAGCAGAAAAAGAAAAACGGGGACCTTTTGCATATCAGTATGAAGGGTACAACGAGCAATGTCCCAAATAACATCTTCAGATACTTCCATTTAGTTGATGCGGTTTTGTACAAGATTTTCTCAAAATAACTCAGAGTGTAAGCTGATGCCATGCTCTTGCCACCTAGTTCAATCAATGATGGGAATCCAGTGAGAGGTTAAGAGGACGCGGTCCAAATCTTCAGGTTTTCTGATATTCTGATTATAAATTTCTACAGGAGTGGATAGATTTTATGTCCTTTAGACCCCTCCTCCCCCATGTTGTTCCTCTCAACTGAGGTTTGTTGAAAGGTGAGCTGAAGACAGTTTGAGGTTATGTACTCTGAGGGGGGCCTGCAGTGCGGGTATTCTGTGCTACTGATTAAGGGCAAATCCATATGCTTTACTAATCAGCTGAGCTCGTGGTCGAGCTGTTAGAGAATGTTTCTCAGAGGCAGAGGACGTAAGCACACTGTTCTCTTTGCTATCTCACAGTATGACGTTCTAGAGTTAACAGCAACAAACTTTGCATTTAGAATGATTTTAATGCTGCTTTGCATAATTCCGAGAGGTAGTTAATTGTAGATAACTGCATCTTGGCTTAGATAGAAACCAAAAATGAGGGACTGAATTCTAGTTCTACTACCTGTCTATTAAGTTACCTGACCTTGAACAAGTCATTGTACCATCCTGTGTCATAGTTTCATCATCTGTAAAAAGAAATTGAGTAAGTTTCGGGCTCTTAACGTTTGATGACTCTTTTTGTGAATAAGGACTAAGAAACTGTATTCACTAAATGCCTGTCCATGTGCCCCATAACCTTGAGAATGCTTTCCTCTTTTTTGAGTATTTATCATTTGGCTCTAAACAGACTTAACTGCTGCAATTTTACCAGTTATTAAAATAGATAACTTCAAGCCTTTTGAAGGGGGGGATGGAAAGAGTGGAGTAAAGGAACTATGTTAGAGACATGACAGGATGCCCTTCCACACAGGCAGCTGTGCACCTTTTCTGTGGCAACCTCTGGGAGTTCTCTTGAAAGTGTTTTTATTGGCATATCAGTCATCCATGAAAGAGATGCTCCAGATTGACCCAAATGTCAAGAATCTTGCTTCTAGTACATGAATTTTTCAAAAGTAAAATTGGAGAAAAGCAGTTGTTGTCTGAATAATGTTCTTGAACAAGACACTGTATGTAATTTTTTTAAAGTTGTGGTTTCCTAGAACAGGGACTAGGAAGGTGAGTGGGGGGTAACCACATGACAAGAGAAAATGCCTCTTAGAGGACCTAAATAATATATAGTTAGAAAAGAACCCAAGATGAACTTAACTGAACCATGACTATCTTAAGGGAAGTGATTACACACACACACACACACACACACACACACACACAAGTGATATTATGCACACACACACATACACAAGTGATATTATACACACACACATTTATCTCTGAATCTCTGCTTTTACTTTTTATTTAATTTATTTAAACTAAACCGGAAAAAAAACCCAACAATTCACCCATTTCTTCCACCCCTCATCCCCTGCTTCTTGCAGTCACCAATCTATTCTCTGTGTCTACAAACTTGGTGTGTTGTTTGTTTTAAATCCCACATATGAGAGATCATACAGTATTTGTCATTCTCTGACTTATTTCACTTAGCACAATGCCCTTGAGGTCTATCTATGTTGTTGCAAATGGGAACATGTCATTTTTAATGGCTGAATAATATTCCCTTATATATACCATGATTTCTTTACTCATTCATCCATCTGTGGATCCATAGGTTTTTTCCATATCTTGGCTATTATAAGTATTGCTACAGTGAACACGAGGTGCATATATCTTTCCGAATTAGTATTTTTCTTTCCTTTGGATATATACCCAGAAGTGGAATTGCTGGATCATATAACAGTTCTATTTTTAATTGTTCAAAGAACCTCCATACCGTTTTCCATAGTGGTTGTACCAATTTACATTCACATCAACAGTGCAAAGGGTTTTCTTTTCTTCAGTCCTCACCAACACTTTTTATTTCTTACCTTTTGATAATAGCCATTCAACACAGTATGAAGTGATATCTCATTGTGGATTTAATTTACATTTTCCTGATGATTATGATGTTGAGCATCTTGTTATATACCGGTTGGCCATCTGTATGTCTTCTTTGGAAAAATGTCTATTTAAATCTTTGCTCATTTTTAAATTGGGTTGTTTGTTTTGTTACTATTGAATTGTATGAGTTCTTTACATATTTTGAATGTCAGCACTTTATCATATACATGATTTGCAGTTATTTTCTCCCATCCAGTAGGTTGTCTTTTAATTTTGTTGATGGTTTCCTTTGCTGTGGAGCTTTTTAAGTTTGATATAGTCCTACTTATTTATTTTTGCTTTTGGTGTGAGATTTTAAAAAATCATCACCAAGACTGTTGAATCACAGACCTGTACCTCTGAAACAAATAATACATTATATGTTAAGAAAAAAGAAGAAGATAGTAGGAAGGGGAAAATGAAGGGGGGAATTCAGAGGGGGAGATGAACCATCAGAGACTATGGACTCTGAGAAACAAACTGAGGGTTCTGGAGGGGAGGGGGTGGGGGGATGGGTTAGCTTGGTGATGGGTATTAAAGAGGGCATGTTCTGCATGGAGCACTGGGTGTTATATGCAAACAATGGATCATGGAACACTGCATCAAAAACTGATGATGTCATGTGTGGTGATTAACATAACAATAATAAAATAAAATAAGATGTCAAAAAAAAAAATCATCACCAAGACCTATATCAAGGAGCATACTGCCTGTGTTGTCGTCTAGGTTTTTTTTTTTTTTAAAGATTTTATTTATTTATTTGAGAGAGAGAGAGAATGAGAGATAGCAAGCACAAGAGGGAAGAGGGTCAGAGGGAGAAGCAGACTCCCTGCTGAGCAGGAAGCCCGATGTGGGACTTGATCCCGGGACTTCAGGATCATGACCTGAGCCGAAGGCAGTCACTTAACCAACTGAGCCACCCAGGCGCCCTCGTCTAGGTTTTTTATGGTTTCAGGTCTTATGTTTAAGTCTTTAAGACATTTTAAGTTAATTTTTGTATATGGTGTAAGATAGTGGTCCATTTTCATTCTTTTACATGTGGCTGTCCAGTTTTCCCAATGTCATTTGTTGAAGAGACTGTTCTTCCCCCATTATAAATTCTTGGCTCCTTTGTTGTAAATTAATTGGTCATATATGTGTTGGGTGTATTTCTGGTCTCTCTATTCTATTTCATTGATCTGTGTATCTGTTTTTAAGACCAATACCATAGTGTTTTAATTACCATAGCTTTGTAATATAGTTTGAAATGAGGGAGCCTTATGTCTCCAGCTTTGTTTTTCTTCCTCAAGATTGGTTTGGCTAGTCAGGGTCTTTTGTGGTTCCATGCAAATTTTATGATTCTTTGCTCTATTTCTGTGAAAAATACCACTGGAATTTTAACAGGGATTGCATTGCATCTGTATAATGCTTTGGGTAGTATGGACATTGTAACAATATTAATTCTTCTAATCCATGAACATGGAATTTCTTTCCATTTATTTGTGTCTTCTTCAATTCATGTCATTAATGTCTTAAAGTTTTCAATATACAGGTCTTTCACCTCCTTGGTCAAATTTATACCCATGCATTTTATTCTTTTTGATATAATTGTAAATGGAATTGTTTTCTTAATTTCTCCTTCTGATAGTTCATTATTAGTGTAAAGAAAAACAAGAGATTTTTGTCTTCTGATTTTGTATCCTGAAAATTTACTGAACTTGTTTATTAGTTCTAACAGTTTTTTTATGGAATTTTTTTAGGCTTCTATATATAATATATCATCTGCAAATAGTGACAGTTTTACTTCTTTCTTCCAATTTGGATGCCTTTTATTCCTTTTTCTTGCCTAATTGCTGTGGCTAGGAGTTCCAATACTATATTGAACAAAAGTGGCAAGCGTGGACATTCTTGTCTTGTTCCTATACTTAATTCTTATTAAACGCTGACTAATTAGTATAACTTCATACAACTTTTTGTCCCCTCCTCCCTTCCAGCACCAAGGAAAAATTGGAGTTAAATTTAATGTTGGAACAGATGACATCGCCATTGAGGAGTCCAATGCAATCATTAACGATGGGAAATACCATGTAGTCCGTTTTACGAGGAGTGGTGGCAATGCCACGTTACAGGTGGACAGCTGGCCAGTGATCGAGCGGTACCCTGCAGGTAAGCCAGTGATTGTGTACTGGGAGAAGATTTTATGGAAAACAAAGCACTATTTTGCGTCCGTTTCACCAAATTGTGGGTTTTCTGAGAAACCATCAAGTATTTATTGGACTTTAAAATCGTGTGAATGTAATGCTATCCTAAACTGTTCTTGATACAGTGTACAAATGACATTTTGTAGGAGAACTTGAAGGCACACAGTATCGTTTGCAAAATTCAGGACATCAGTGAAACCAGAAAAATGCACACATAAAAGGCACAACATGTCAAAGCTCTTTTTACTGGATCTTTGCATTTGAACAAAGGAAAGGCTTTGTCAAAAGTAACAAAGTTAAAATTTAAAACTCAAAGAAGGGATATTACACAGTTTTCTCTGAAAGAAAATAGGACCAGGTGGTTCCTTTGATGGTGGTGCAGAGCTGAAACTCATGAAAGGTGCAAGAGGACCATGGGACAAACAGAGAAATAGTAAAGGAACAACAACATATAGTACTATAAATCACCAGTTATAAAAACATGTAACTAACTGAAATTTGTTTTCACTGTCATAGAACCATATGGGAGTTTCACAAGGACTCTCTGACACTAGCATTACTTATTTTAAGTCTATAAAATGAATGTCAAGCTATTATTGGTAAAATAAAAATTACCTTTTTCACTGTTAATCAGCTTTGTCAGTTCTACGTTATTGAAACAAAAGCAATAGATTAGAAATTTAAACCAGTGTTACTTGGGATTGCATATAGTCTCAATTAAAAAAAGCATGTTGTTTTTAAGTAAAATACAAATTAAATGTATAATTGTTATTTTACTTCATTTATTATCATCTTTATATTTTAGTACAAAGAGATTACTAAAAATATCAGCTTCATTTCTCTCTGCTCCCCTTTTAGATACAACTGACCTGTACAACAGATTTATAGCACAGCATAAAGAAAGAATATAAAAAGAAGTTTCCATTTTGTACAGTAAAAATGATTACCAAAATGTGCATAAGCCTCTGTTATAAGTTTTTGTTTCTTGGCAGAAATAATTTGAGGAAATAACTAACTTATTAAATAAAGAGTAATTTTTCTTGGTACTGACTCACAATTAGGAACTGTCTAATGAAATGTCTGTGTTGCCCTTCTGGACCTTTGTGGATTTAAAAAATATCTACATCTTCAAGCCTCATTTCAGGCCTATTCTGTAAACTTGGTGTTCTGCAAATATTTGCTGAATTAAATATAATAAAAAAATCCAGGTCTATGACAAAATTCAGAAGCAAGCACGTTAACAATATGTCCAGTGCCCATTATAATACTGGCAAATAGTAGGTAGTCAATAAATATTTGCCAAATTGATGTCCTGGGAATTATCCCGATTTTACTCTACAGTTATGAGAATGTACACCTTCTTTTACCATCTGTAATAAGATGAAGGAATGGAAGATTTGGAAGGAAAGTAACTTAAATATGCACACAGTGTCACACAGTCCCTGCTAATACCTCACTGAATTTACTGAAATCCTAATACAAAGGCATTTTTCATAAAAACTATAGCCTCTGTGAAATTATGGAAAAGTAAATTGGTGAATTTCCTAAAATACGGATTAATCAATAACTGTTTCCTGAGAGGAAGTTATTGCCCTGGACACAAAGATGTAAAGTAGGATAAGGTCTAGGCCCTGTCTCTGGGGCTGTTGTGTCTGTGAATAGTAGAGCTGGACATGTAAATTGACAAATCCCCTTGCTATTACAGTGTGGCAGTTGCTTCTTGAAGCCTAGCATTGTTTCACCAGCTAAATTATTAAAATTATTTCATTTTAGTAACTTTTTACTCTTGTCACACTTTCCGTACTGCTATCTGTAAGAACTCTGCTCTAGAGAATGCTAATGCTGACCTCTGAGGGGAGAGAGGAAGTCACACCCTGAAGTTAGTTTGGGAAAATATGGGTTACTAAGTTTAAAATATGTATACTTGGACTTTATCAATACCCATTATGCATCTCTCAAAGAGAAATATAGTATGCATTTCCCAAGCATAGATAGCCAGAATCTAGTTTTCTAATGCGTTAAGGCATTTGGGTAAATATTTTATGTTTTTTTTTTTAATTTCTATACCTCTTTGATATATTGTATCTGATTGGGAATCCTTTAATTGTGCACATACTAGATACTATGTACGAGGTATAGTTCAAAAAAGATATGATCTTTTCTTGTGGCAAGCCAGTGTCCAATTTGAATACTAGTAGCTGAGACTGGGGCAGTAAATTTATTAAGTCAACAAATATTTCTATATTTTTCTAGACTAATATTTGTTTAACATATACAATGTATATTTACCAATTAAATGGATGCTCATTATAGGGAACAATGTAAAATATATTTAAAAATCAGAAGCTGGCAATATCATGATAATTAAGGACTAAATCTTTAGAAATAGTTATTTTAGATGCAACCTCTTTTATATTAGTCAAAGATTCTATGTGCCCTTTCATTAAAAAGTATTTTCGATAATATTGATTAATCAAGAGTGAGCAAAGTTGCAGTTATTATGAAAGATAAAAGCAAGAGTAAAACGCAGACTCTGTCCTCAAGAATGTGAGAGCACCTGTGGGGAATTTCAATATATACATAAAAAAAGTTAATGATCGATATGCAAAGAACTCAGGGAATCACCATTGCTGTTATCAAGTATTTTATTAATCATCTGTTCTATGTGCATTTCAGCATGATATTGAGATAGGAAATAAACCATGAAAATTTCAAATACCTTTTTCTTTTGGAGCTTTATCTGTAACAATGCCATGAGGGCTGAATACAAATTTAAAAGTATATGTCATCTAGTTTAAAGTTTTTAGAACAAAGTGATTTTACGTATGAGTCAATAGAAATGTCTAGTATATCTCTTTTCTATTGGTTTGTGGTAAGACTATTTTTATTTTAAAAGTTTTTTGTTGTTGTTACTCTTCATTAGAAAATCAGCTAGACTAATGCTTTTACCACCAAATCCTATGATCAGAGAAGCAGGAACCAACAGACTATATTTGGTTCCTTTTAAAGTGCCTGCACTGCAAAATATAGATAATAAGGATTGAAATTAGTAATTAAGTATAGCACTTAACCTTCCATTATAGGGCTTTGTGGCAAGCGCTTTTATATGAAGCAATTCATCTGGTAGCAATGCTATACCGTTAATGAAAAGCACCTAAAGCATTGACCAGTGGTATTACCCAGTAATTGTCTAGAAGACTTTCATAGAGAAACTAATTAGTAGAGGTAGATTTTATGCTCTTTTCAAGTATATGAAATATTCCTTTAACTCAAAAATTCATATTTTAGAATAAATATTGAATTTTCTGAATAGCAGACCCAATTTCCTTTGTATTTTGTATATGGAGCAGTGAATAGGAATAATATTTTGCAAGCCATTTAAAGATGAGAAAGCCATTTATTGGCGCTTGTTAGTTAAAGCTCTAGAATATAATACATCGTTAATCTCTGATTTGTTCCTAATTATAGTTATGTAGCAAAATTTCTCTCAACAAAAATAGCTTTTCTTTTCTCATAATGTTAATCCACAGAATTTAACATCATCTTACATGCCCAGTGTAAAGATTGCTCCAGGTAAATCACAGTTACTTTTGAAGATAAACCTTTGAGTTCATTTGTGTACTAGTGTGCCAAAAAATATCCTTTACACAAGGCCAAATATTCATTTTATTCCTTTCAAATTAGCACATCAAATCAACAAGTGTTTAGAGGATAGGTACTACATTAAAGGGATATACGAGGCTTACCATCTGGTTACAGAGATACATAAGAAGTGTTGGAGATTAAAAACATACTATGTGAGAAAATACAAGAGTTATCATATAATATTTGGTTAACTTCTGATTAAGAAATACCAAAAAAAAAAAAAAGGAAAATATGTTCCAAGGAAGAAGAAGCCATTTTGAGTAAGTTGTCTAGTAATAATATGGAAAAAATAGGAAACTTGATTTGGGTCTAGCCTTGAAAGGCTAGATTTTTATTTAGAGGATGGCATGCATTTATGTTAATGAGACTAGCAGGAAAAGATAGAGACAGAACATATTTAGAAAGTTATTAAATAGTCCAGATATCAAAAGATACGCTAAAGTAGGGTGATAGAAAATAGAGAATTAATACAGAATACAATAGAAGAGCTGGTTTTCAATTGAATAGGAGAGTCATTTTTACTTTTTAGTCTTTCTGTCTGTCTGTCTGTCTTTCTCACCAGCAATTTTTTAACATTCTGTTGCTGCAGTGTGTCATCAGACTGCACCAAGTAACAATGAAATGAAAACCTGTGGTAGGAATGAATAGAGAAGTCAGAGACATGGTTCTCCCTTGCTAAGAGTTTAGACATTTGGGGAGACAAGAAGGATTCAGAAAAGTTAACTAATGTCAAATAAAATGGGTCAACTTCAAAATTACTAGTGAAGAGTTTAATTGATATAGAGTCTTTAAAAAGGAGAAAATGGTGGTCTGTGATGATTTAACAAAGAAGATCATTTAATAGGAAAATTTGAAAGAAAGAGAGGAATAGCCGAAGGAAAGACTCTATAGAGATGGTGTCAATATTTTTCACATGATTATTCAGTTTGGCTCAAAGATCTTATGGGTATTATCTCTAAACTTTGACTTTGTTTTCATCTTCAAAAATTGGTAAAACATTTCAGAGCTCAGGAAAGTCATAGTGATGATGTCCCTTTAAATTCTATATACTTAGTTTAGATTGATTGATTGAATTTTAGTTTAAGTCATCAGTAATTATTGACTATTTGAGCTATTCCATCATTTAAAGATTCCTAGTTGGTACTAAGTGTTGGTCGATTTGATGATCTTGGTGTTTTTATTTAGCTTTAACAGAATTTTTGCTATGTATGATGTAATTGAAAAAATCTACCTCATTTGTGATCATAGCATTTGAAGGAGAGAAGGAACTTCAAAGGTCTTCTATTCCAGCTCCTTCATTTTTCAAACAATAAAATGGAA